CCTCGTAATTTCTGCACTTGGATTCTAGTTTCTGCTTTTCTATCTTTGCTTTGTGTCTTTGGAAAGCTTCAGTGTAGTGTGACGAGCTAGACACCTGCTCGTAGTGTGCACCGAGGAAGTTCGCTTGATCTTCCAGGCTATCACCTTGTGTGTTTACGAGTGGAAGTGAGTGTACTTGTCTTCCTGCTACCCTACGAACCATGTTCCAGACTTTAGCCTCTTGTGTATATGAATTTATCCCTGATAAAAACTTGTGCCAGCTTTCTTTTCTGGCCTGCCGACGCGTTCTCCTGCCTCGAGATTTTATTTTCCTAAAGCTCTCAAGGTTTTCCGCTGTCGGCGAGTTCCGCAACAACCTCCATGCCCTGTTCTGTTCCTTTCGCGCATTCTGGCACTCAGTGTTCCACCACGGAACGTGTCGTTTGCCGGGCAGCCCAGATGTTTGTGGAATGCACTTGGTTGCTGCGTCAGTAAGAAAAGCCGTGAAGTACTGCACAGCTTCATCTATGCCTGACCCGCATATGTCAGTCCAATTTAGGTGAGTAAGCTTTTGAAATCGTTCCCAGTTGGCTTCGTTTACCAGCCATTTGGGAACATGTGGAGGACATTCATTTGTTATTGGTGTACTCAAAACTAAAGGGAAATGGTCACTTCCGTATGGATTATTTATGACTTTCCACTGAAGTAATGGTACAAGTGAAGGAGATGCGATACTGAGGTCTATGGAAGAGTAAGTTTTGTTGGCAAGGTTATAGTATGTTGCCTCTTTCCTATTCAACAGACAAGCACCCGATGAAATGAGGAATTTTTCAATGAGACGACCTCGGGCATCACAGCGAGAGTCACCCCAACGACCATTATGTGCGTTCAGGTCCCCAAGGACCAGATAAGGTTCAGGTAGTTCGTCGATTAAAGACTGGAATTGAAGTTTTTCGAGACGGTGGTGCGGAGGTATGTACAAAGAGCAAACAGTGACAAGTTTGTTTAGAATAACTGCTCGGACAGCCACCGCCTCGAGGGAAGTTTGAAGGGGTAATTGTGTGCATGCTATACCATGACTTATTATAACCGCTACACCACCGGATGGTAGCATGGCATCATCTCTATCCTTTCGGAAGATTATATAGTTACGTAAAAAGTTTGTGTTAGTTCGTTTTAGGTGTGTCTCCTGTACACACAGCACTCTTGGATTGTGTTCATGGAGGAGTTCTTGTAAGTCATCGAGGTTTCGAAGAAGGCCTCGGATGTTCCACTGTAATATTTGTCTGCATATTAAAACAAGAGAGATGCTGCTGTGTGTACAAAGAGTATCCTGTGTTGGAGTGAGCTCATTAATTCAGGTGGCAGGACGGTTGTCCGGCCCCGTTATTGGTTTTTTATTTTTCTTGGCGCGCTCCAAGGAGGCGCCCCGCTCTTTTGGTACCAAGGGTACCGTTGTATCCATTGCCTCCTCAGAGGCACTGGGTGCCCGCACATGCGAGCTCGTGGTTCGGATTTTAGGCCTCGCCTGGTGAGGGGAGGCCTTGAGACCAGAGGACCCTGGAGTCTCCGGCCTCAATTCGCTAGGAGGCGGAGTAGCCTGAACTACTGCCGCCTTGGGGGCAGGTGCCACAGCCGTCGGCTCGCTCTGCGCTGGCCGAAGGAGTGGCGAGGGCTGGTGCGGCGTTGCCCCCTGACGCGCCGCATCAGCATATGTAGCGCCATAAAATGGCGACACTCTTCGTCTTGCTTCCTTGAATGCGATATTTTCTTTAATTTTCAATGTCATGATTTCCTTTTCTTTTTTCGAAAATGAGCAAGACCGTGAGTATGCGGCATGATTTCCACCACAGTTCACACAGTGTGATGGTTCTTCGCAATTGTCAGAATTGTGGCCTGACACTCCACATTGTGCACAAGTTTGGTGACCACGACAGCTTTGTGAGCCATGGCCATACTTCTGGCATTTAAAACAACGACGTGGGTTAGGTATGTATGGTCTGATCGACGTCTTTGTGTAGCCTGTTTGAATACTTTCTGGGAGATTACTGGAAGCGAACGTGTGTATTAGGTGTTTTGTTGGTGTTGCCTTGTTGTCTCTTCTAATGGTGATCCTTTGTACATTGGTCACATTCTGACTCTTCCACCCCTCCAGAAGTTCCTCTTCAGTCAAGCTGAGCAAATCAGCATCAGATACTACTCCACGGGTTGTGTTCATGGATCTGTGTGGCGTTACAGTGATGGGAGTGTCACCAAAAGTTGAAAGATTCTGTAGCTTTTCGAACTGTTCTTTTCCTCGGACTTCAAGGAGGAGGTCTCCGCTGGCCATTTTGGTAACTTTGTACCCGGCTCCAAGAGTTTCTGTGAGACATCTGGCTACTACAAAGGGTGATACGGTTCTGGCTTGCTTGCTGCTTATTTCACTATGTATAACATGAAAATGGGGGAAGTTTTCACTTGATCGGTTGAAAAAGCCTAAGTCTTCGGTGCGTACACGCTTTAAGGCGGTACGATCACTTAATAGGGGAAATGCTTTATGCATGCCAGTTTAATTTTCTTCAGAAGCGTTGGCGGCCACCCACCACGGAGCCCAACAAGGGGACGCTACAAGTTTGTGGATGCTAAAACCTGCAGACGCCAGCCGTACAACGCAACTATAACCCAATGCGCCTAGACCAAGGTAGGCTATTTGCACAGGGTTAACCCTCGCCGCCAGGAAGTTTGGAAGTAAACAGAAGAGAGTAGAAGACAGGACAGATAAACAGTAAGAGATAAAGACGAAGATGTAGGGAGAGAGAGAGATAGGAAAAGGCGACTGCCGATTTCCCCTGGGTGGGTCAGCCCAGGGGTGCCGTCTACGTGAAGCCAGGGCCAAAGGGGTGTGTTGCTTCTGCCGGGGGGCCTTAAAGGTCCAATCACCCAGCGTCGGCTCAACCCCCAGGATCCCCTTTTCCCCGGACACGGCAAAGCCACGCACGACTAGGCGCGGGAGGGAGTAGAAACTCCCCCGTTAGCTCGGGTCCGTGGTGTCGCTACACACCAAACGCCTACTTGCGCAGGCGCCCCTGCGGGGACTGGGCAAAACAACCAAGACATTCGAAAGAGGCATGCAAACCAAACAAAACTATATTCTGCCATGACCTCTGCCAACAAAGCTGCAGTAGACACAGTCATGCAAGCTGTTCTGACAGCACATGTGCAGCCAGCCCACCAAGAATGAACTACCTGACCACTGCGAACAAAACCATGGTTCCCTACTACAGTAATGAAAGCGACATTTTGCTTTTTGGAGCTGATTCTGGAGCAGACGAAATGGTGCTTTGAAGCAGCCTTAAGTGTCTTCAAAGCAGAAAAAATGCTAGAGGTTAGGGTTGCTGTTGGTGTTTTTGGAGCAGATGCATGTTTCTAAGGACTCCTAAAGTCTAAAACATCACTTACACATCTAATAAATGTTTATATTTACAGTTTAACCCCTTTATAATAGACACTGATATAAGAAAAAATAGGTATAAGAGACACCAGTGTGCCTACAGTAAAATACGGGTTGATAAAAAAATGAATACGAGGTGCCCTGCTTATAAGAGACATCTCATATAAGAAAAGAGAATTGCTGTCGAGAGCACATCTCTTATAAATTGATTCAACTGTATTAATAAACGTGTCGTATGCTGGTATGCCATATGCTGGTATGCCGCTAGTATACAAGCAGTATAGTTCGCGTAAATCATGGGCAGGAGAGGGGTCAAGAGAGCCCGGACTTTTTTGGTGTTCAGGCTGGGGAGGACACCCTAGCAAGTGTCCCACTTGAGATTTAGCTTTAGGACATGATATAACTGAGTTAACAGTTAAGTATAGCACAATAAACTTTTTAAAAGTCTTTTTATCTTTTACTGTGTGCCTGTGTCAAATGCCCCTTAGCTGTGTGAACTATGCAAATCGAAAAAAGGTGAAACAAAAAAGACTGAATAGAACAGTGCAATTGCTCAAGCTCAGACCCTATGCTCAATTATTTTATTTGGAAGCAGGATTTAATTCCTATATATATAAAAATACAACCCATATTAAAAATATGAATTGAACACCATAGCCTGATATCTGCCACCCCTTGAGATTTTTCTGGATTTATGCCACTGAGTAGCACACTAGAATGATAGTGTATACAGCTTTCTTTTGGTTTCGCTTAGGCTCACGGGATGGTCTCATGGCTAAACTTCATTCTTTTTAGTTTGCAAACATCCTTTCAGAGCAGGTTTGGAGCAGTTACAAACAAATATTGCACTTTGGAGCTACATAGAGCAGCATTTCTCTCTTGGAGCAGTTGGAACAGCACTTTCATCACTGCTACCATTCTGATCATTTATACCTGCTACACAGCTCTTAAAGTATTCACGATTGTAAAAAGGCACAAAGTGCGTTTCTGTCCTTCACTTGAAACCATGGTGCTGCATACTTCGGCTCGTAGCTTTTGTAGTTCCTGCCACCCTTGAAGCTTTGACAAATGCATTCACTCGGGAGTCGTCTCAATGCTGTATTTTTTCCTCGTATTACCCTGCCCTACAGATCATAGAACAAAAATGATAGAAAAACGATTCCTGCAAATCAAAATGAAGGGTTTATACTACCGTGAACCCGTGCCATGAAGCCAACTTACGCACTGAAATTAGCATATAAGTTGCGATCCAACTTTGGCTCCCCATTATCTGTATATTTTGTTCAAATTTATATGCAATAAAATACGGCAACTTCAGTGCAACCGAATAAGCATAAGTTAGTGAAAGTGATGTAAAAAATAATGCACATGCTTGCTGGGCCCAGAGAACAAGTCATTCTCAACTCTTGTCGTCTATACATGAAATTTTACTGCAACAAACTTTTTACGCATGTTCTGTTAGCTTCATTGTGAATGCAACTATAACGAAACTGTGAGACATACAACACCAGTGATACAGGCCTAGTTGCTGAAAAGACTGCGGACCACATGTCATGCAGGACATATTCACAAAGGTAAGAAGGAAGCCTACCAGAAGTCATTCAGGACTGCAAATGCATCCTGGAACAACTCTAAGGGCGTAGTGGTCTCGAGCAGAGGTGGAGGGTTCAGTGGCAAGTCCTCCTTTGGCCGTCTCAAAGAAGGGTTCAGTGGCACATCTTTTGGTTGTCCCAGGGGACTGTACAGAGGCAGGTTTTCCTTTGGCCGTCGCAGGAGAGGGCTCAGTGGCACATCTTTTGGCTGTCCCGGGGGACGGTTCAGTGGCAGGTCTTCGTTTGGGCGTCGCAAGGAAGGGTTCAGTGGCACTACTTTTGGCTGTCTCAGGGGATGATTCAGTGGCAGGTCTTCTTTTGGCCGTCGCTGGGGAGGGTTCAATGGCAGGTCTTCCTTTGACCGTCGCGAGGAAGGGTTCAGTGGCACATCTTTTGGCTGTCCCAGGGGACAGTTCAGTGGCAGGTCTTCCTTTGGCCGTCGCAAGGGAGGGTTCAGTGGCACATCTTTTGACTGTCCCAGGGGACGGTTCAGTGGCAGGTCTTCCTTTGGCCGTCGCAGGGGAGGGTTCAGTGGCACATCATTTGGCTGTCCCGGGGGACGGTTCAGTGGCAGGTCTTCCTTTGGGCGTCGCAAGGGAGGGTTTAGTGGCACATCCTTTTTTGGCTGTTGCAAGGGGTGCCATTCACCTAAGCTGCGACATCCAGGCACTGGGTGGAAGGGCTCAGAAATTCCAGATCTCTGGGGCCCCTTGCTAGCTCCAGCTTTCTGCTCTTCACCTCCAATGCAATATTCGTTGTTCACAGGTGGCTTGCGGTATGATGGCATCGTCAGGAAACTTGTGATGTTCCGAGGACTGCGTGTAAGGCACAGAAACTGCCTGTAATACACACTTCAAAGGCAGAAAAAGTAACGAAATGGCATAATGAATTTCAAATCTACATTAGGCACAATGATCAAGCACACATGCTTCCGAACTGTACTGGCTTCGTCGGTTAATCTTCACACAGCGATAAACTTCAGAGTGTGTAATTTGGTATGGAAGAGACAAACACATGTACAGGACAAGCGCTAAATTATCTTCATTGCACAACAATTTTCCTAGATGTATTCGCCCCAAGATCGAACTGTGTTGATGTCGGGTGGCCACTAGCTAAAGCGTGCCTAGTGTGGATTGGCCTCTGCATTGTCTGCTAGCCATGCAAGGCTAGCGTGTGTGTGCACATTATGTTCATCCTCAAAGGGCGGTTTGTCCTGCTTTATTAGCATAAGCTCAACTGCTTGCATGTTTGCCTAGCATTATCTACGCAAGCATTTGGACTTGCTCGCCTGTATATGCACTGCAATATGATCAGTATGTGCCCTTGCCGAGTACTGGGTGTTGTTGTCGTACCCTCCATTCGCCAGGGTCATGTCAGTATAGGTGCCGCTTTGTCGAATGCCTTGAGCGAGTAGGTGCTTCTTAATAATCACAATATCAAGCAAAAAAAAAACAAAATGGAGTTGCAGAACCACACATGTAAAGCACATTGTACTAAAGTGCCCTTAGCGTCATCTTAAACATAAGGAATATTAGATAACATATTAACAAGGACGAAGAAGGCAGGTTGACCAGATCTTGCTTATTGTAACTGCGGCGCTGTTGTGCTTTTCTATGATGCCACGAGCTTCGATTTTACTCGAGATACTTTTTGCATTGTACGGTCTCATTACATTGAAATATTTGTGTCAAGTAAATTCTGCCACTTCGGTACTTACATTGTCCTTTAAAAAGAATAGAAGTACATGGCCATGATTTAACATGGGTCACCATGCGCAGCTTGAACATTGTGCGAGCCCACCCATCTGCTTAGATTTGAGTTCAGTTTAAAGAATCAAGATGGTAAAAGAATTAATCCAGATGGCATGCCTCCATTATATCATATGTCCCACAAAACACCATCTTGTTTTACACTATCTTGAGCGCTTTTGCGGCATTGTTTTAGGTTGACAGAAAGAGGGGATATTCACTTTAAAAATAACCTTTGTGCCATCAAATAACCAAAGGTTGTTGCGTCACTGTCCAGGGTTTTTACAGGTTTCCAAAGCGAAAATCGAAGGATATTCAAGGACTTTCCAGGACCTGTTGCAAGTTTTTCAAGGACTGAAAGCAGTATGCTAAGTTGAAATTTCTCACCTAAAAATTTTCAAAAATGACCAATTTCAGTGCACTTAAAATAGATATCTGTATATCACAACTATAAAAAAAAGAGCATAGTCTTAATTATCACACCCTCTCCCACACTCTATAGAGAGAAAGCACGATGCCATGTCAGAAGATTATGTGCTGATGGGCTTCAACGCGCATGTGTAGTTGGGCCATAAAGGGGTCGTGCCACAATATTTGTGGCTTGCGTGCTCTTTACTGCAAGCTTTAATTACAGCTCTATAAGCACGATACATGCACCAAGATTCATTTATTCTTGCTATATTATTTGTCATCTTTTTGATATGACCAATTTTCAGTTCCCGCTTGTGAGGACCGAGTTGGGCAGGTACGTAGTAGCGTAGCTGACTTAGTCACCTGATCAGAGAGCTTTGCACGTGTCATGCTCAGTATGGTCAGCTCTCGCACACATGTCCCACACCAAGCACCTGCAAAACAAACTCGCCAGTATCTGCAGCAGTGATACTTTGCTGTTATGTACGGGGCGAAGGTCCGGAGGTCACTCACCCGACTACAAATCTGGTGCGACATTACTAGAACTTTCGTTGCCCTTCCTATAGAGCTACGTCAGTGTTGGATGCACTCGCGATGAGCTTCTTTAGGAGAATGAGCATTTAGGTACACTTGGGAAGTGACTTAAGATATATTCTTAAACCCACACGGTGCCTTGAAATTTGATTGCACCACTGCATCAAGAGTGTCGGCTTGTGCACAGTTGACACTCGCAGCATGTTGCTCAACAACCAAGAGGTAACAACTGTGACAGTGGTTAATTTACACTCATCTTGTGGATACAAGTGTGTTCCTTTCTAGCAGCCTTCTTAGTTTGTTTAAGCAGCACACTTCCAGTGCCGAGCTGTGACAGTCGTTCACCAGCACTCGTCTTGTGTGCTTTCCTTTTGTGCGTCCTTCATGGTTGAGTGGAACGTTACATATATGGGGTGGCTTGCTCTTGGTGTGACATTCTAATTTCTTGCTATCACACTCACTGCTTCACCCTGCCACAAAGTAACTTTTTTCACAAGCACTTTTGCCAAATGGGATCGTGTGCACCCACATCGCATTACTGCTTTAGAAATGAGGAGTTTGACAGGTTGACACACTGATGTACCACATTTAGGAGGTCGCGATGTCAATATGAGAGTGAACTGCTCAGGAAATTCACGGATTTTCAAGGATGGCGAAACATTCCTGGACTTTCAAGGGCCTTGAAGATAAATTTTTCTAAATTAAGTGTTTTCAAGTATTTTAAGAACCTGTACGAACCCTGCTGTCATGTAGGTCATCAATTGAACAAATCTGTGTGCTGTTACCTTTTTTTGCTGTCATTGGACAAGTGCACCAAAGCGCTCCGACTCTCAGCTTTCCCGATTTTGCATAGTATCAACTGTCCTATGTGTGGATGCATATTCGCGGTTACCTTAGCTCATTGATCAAGAATGCAACAAATGACAAATTCAGTTGCACTACAAGGGTACTTACAAATAACGATGCAAAAGTAGTGTGAAAACGCAGACAGTGGCCACGTGTGAATATCCCTTTCAATGGGAGATTGTGTTCCTAACGATCGGAGAGCTTCGTGCATCCATTCGGTAACGGGCAACATACATATTACAAGTAGGCTACAGTCAAAGCATTTTATTCTCCAACAAGCAACTTGCACCACTCAGGAAATGCGCACCGCCTATCCACACTAGCATGATCCCGGTGCTGCCGCTTGTACTCCGATCCTTGGGCGAATACACAGTACAGGAGGCATGCGCAGCACACTGCACATCAATACCACAAAAAGTTCGCATATTGCATACAGCATAGACAGGTCCAATGCCATCAGTTGGTGATTTTCGAACGTGCATCGCCAATGCGGCAAGATTGTCCCTCTTTTCCTTCCTGGCACATAGCTTGGGTTAGGTCTATGCATTACAATGGCAACGTGAAACGAGCCCCGCTTGTTTTTCTTCCCAAGCAAAGCAGTCGATAATTGGCCATTCAAGTTGCTTGCATCCCTTGGCATACTAATTAAAGGGTATGGAAAGAGTGGTTGCAAGAGCTGCACGTATTGGCTGTCACCCAAACAATATAACCACCATTTCATACCATATGGTCTCAGTCACTTAACATTTGTCGAAGAAAGCCCGTTGTTCGAGAACCAAACATTGCTTTTCTCACTTTATCACACCAAAGTTTCACTGCATCAATTTTTCACAGGATCAGTTTTCCTTTAGTTTCACTTAACCACCAAAAAGGACCGCTACGGTAGCCGATACTCTGTATCATGTGACTTTTGAAAGACCTACAAAAAACACAAAAGGAATGCAAAAATGATAAAGCACTCATATTTTCCGCCACCATGACTTTATTTATTTATTTTATTTATTTAGGAATACTGCAGGCCTTAATAGGCCCAGGCAGGAGGGGAAAAGTACGAACAAAAGTACAAAGTCTGCAAATATCAAGAATATATACAAGTAGGATCTATACAAAGCAACAACAAAGTGAATCTACTAACAAGTAAATGAGCACTAAAAGAAATGTGATACAAAGAAAAATAATATACAATATGAGAAGATAAACAATACAGAACTATCTAATCAATGTACAAAGGAGTTAGTAAAATACTGGATCACTGTATTGAAAGAGGAAGGGCTAGATCTAAGATGAAATGGATGCGATAGAGTCGGTGTTGCTGAGTGTACTAAGAGGTAGGCTGTTCCAGTCGGCTACTGTTCGAGGAAAAAAGGAATACCTAAAGATGTTGGTTCTGGTATTGTAAGGCGTTAATGTGGCAGAGTGGCGATGTCTTGTTCGGCGAGCAGTGAGAGGCTTAATGTAAGGTTCAGGAGAAAGAGACAATTTATTTTTATACAGTAAGAATAGAAATTTAAGCCTGTGAATTTTTCTTCTTAGTTGCAAGGACTGAATGTTGTGTTGGGCCATTAGGTCACTTGGAGAGTCACTGGTGCAATATTTGGAGAAGATGAATCTTACTGCTTTACGTTGGATCCTTTCTAGCGCATCGATGTTAGTTTTAGTGTAAGGATCCCATACGATAGCTGCATATTCAAGCTTAGGACGGACAAGAGAGGTATAAGCGGTTAGACGGGTCTCGGGAGGAGCATGTTTTAATTTGTGTCTGAGGTAGCAGAGTTTTTTGAAGGCTGAGTCGCAAAGGTGAGAGATGTGGGAGTTCCAACTGAGATTATTAGTTATGATGACACCCAGGTACTTATATTCATCAACCTCTGTAAGAGGCATGGATGCAAGATTATACGTAAACGAAAGTTTATTAATTTTTTTGGTGATTTTCATAAATACTGTTCTATCAATATTAAGCTGCATGTCCCAGCGTTCGCACCATGTTAAAATTTTTTGAAGGTTAGAGTTTAGGGTGATTTGGTCTTGCTGGCAGGTAATTTCATTAAAGAGTAAGCAGTCATCAGCGAATAATTTTATCTGTACAGGTTCAGTAATAGAGTCAACTATGTCATTAATGTATATATTAAACAATAAAGGTCCAAGAACACTTCCTTGGGGAACTCCAGAAGTAACAGCAAGGTCACTCGAACAGCAATTATCAATTGCAACAAATTGCCTACGGTTAGTGAGGTAAGCAGAAATCCAATTTACTAGGTATGAGGGAACGT